CAGCAAAATTACACCGGTCTAATGCATTTGTCACTTTCTGTATCGTATAATGTATCATGAGCCTATCTCTCAGAGCAAATCTGCTATATTTCACGTTGACATTTCCCTGTTTCTAAGCATCGTACCTACATTTTTCGTTCGCTCAACGGAAGAAAAGAAACACGAGAGAGAAAAGCTGGATGCCCTGTTTCGTGGCATTTTTAAACGAATTACGATAATTATAGGATTGGTTAAATATATTAATTACATTCGTCCGGTATGAAAAAAAGTGGTTGCAGCGGATAATTCCATACTCGTTTCGCGAGAAATTGATTACGAATTCTTTTCTGAGCCTCAAGGATTATTAATATACCGAGATTTGAAAGAAAAGTGGGTCAAGTCTACTGCAGCAATACCTTTGCTAGTACGGTCTCTGGAATCCGTGTACGACCAGTGTTCGTATGTTAATTAATTCAGTTGCCGCATTTGTACACCATTAATCAATGTATGATTTTCCAGAGAAATTCATTACCTACCGTGTGAAATAAGGTAATACACCTTTTCTTTCTTAACGATTGAACGATTCTCAGTAAACCTTCTCGCAAACATAATGATACTGTTTTCAAAGCAGCTTCTCATTGCATGAAATGTAATGAGAGATAAAATAGCACTAATCTTTAATTTATTATAAAAAGTATAGTACACTTTTATTCGATTGTACTTTTTATGGAAATGTTATAAATCTGCACTTTATAATTTTACAAGAAAATAGTAACTTCAAATTATTGATAACTGGATAATCATTGAAAAATGAACATTCCTCACAATTTATTCGTGTTTTTCTTTATAAATTATATCAAGAGTCATACAGTTATGATATCTAGAATATTTTAATCGTTAATTATTAATATGGCAATTAAAAAATGTGCAACCCAGCTATTCTTAATATATTTATATACATTATTATAGATTTACACTTATTAACGTATTAAATCCCAGATATTCGTTGATTGGTAAGATAATAATCAATCTTGCATTGAAAGGAACATCGAAAGGGTCAAATAGGACAAGGGTGGTTGAATATTTTCGGATTTCTTCTAACTGGTTACTCTTCGGACAATGATCATTTCATTGTGGACGATGATAGGTGCAGCGTAAAACATAATCGAGTATCGAGCAGGTGATTCGATCGGTCCTGCAATTCTGTACGTAGAAAAAAGTCCGTGAGACGCTTGCGCTGCGGCGCGGCAGTGACGGCGGCAGCGACGGTGGCTTTCGTCCCGTTGGCCAATGGAGCACGGTGCCAGTCGTCGTTATCACGAGCACCGCGGCGCTGGCCGCAGTTTACTAAGCGGCGTCCACGCGACTCGCGACGCGACGCGCGTTCTCGGTCCTCGAGGCTGGTTATGCGGCTGTCCGGAGGGCTCTTCGAGACACCCACCAGGTGAACCACGTCGTTCTCGCGATAACGACGCGACGTGTGCGCGAATTTCTTCGTCAAACAGGACCGAAAACCGTCGCAACAAATCTTCTGATTTTAGGTATCGATCGCAAACAGTGCTCGATATTCATTCGATGTGAACCGGTCGGGATCGATCGGCATAAAGAGTATGCAGCAGTCGAGTGGCTTTTCAATTAAAAAACAAATATATTATTCAAAATTTTTATACTTCTTTGCTCGGTTTTAACTTTGGCAAGATCTGAAATTCGCGCGACTTTTACATATGTTCGTTGAGGTACCGATTTTATTTTCTATCTTTCTTAGATCATTTTGTACAATTAGTGACGAGGTGTTGTAAATTCATTCAATGATTAATTTGTAAGTTAAAAGAACGTTGAGAGGTTTTCATACTTGTTCTGAATAAGATATAAGTGGTTGTTCGAGGTTTCGTAGTTGGTTTTACGCGCCAATTTTCTGCGAGACTGGGTATGAATTCTGTGAAACTTTCGGTATATTAATTATGTACAGTGACTTCTTTTTCAACATTCAATGACCTTTGGTCTTCGTAAAAGAAATTATTCTATTTTCTTACACTCTGAAGATCGTTCTTCGTCTCTTGAACATCGGTTTTCTTATTTTTATTTAGTTTCATTTCAAAAAACTTCATTCGACGTTCCCAATTACTTTCAATGTGACAATGAACTATATAGATAGCTTGACAGTGGAATTAATCTTGTATCACTAAGAAAGCTCGTTGTTCGGATATTCTATGACACGTGCCTAGCCATTGATCACACTATACTATA